CGTCGGTGTGTTGACCGTGTCGAGGTAGGCGTCCTGGCTGAGAAAGATGGTGCGGTCGTTCAATTTAAAGTGCTCATCTGCCAAGATGTGTGAATGGTATGGTCTCCCGAGTGGTATTGCCGAACATCTTCTCCAGCCCGGCTGGAAGCAGAGCATCAACATGAACAGTAGTGACCAAGATGTTTGTCGTACCAGAGCAACAAGTTTCATCCAACATTGCCCATTTGCCGTCCATGTCGCCCTTGATGTGTAGTGCCAACGCTGCCTGTCACAACAGTTGCGCGCCGATGGGTCCAGGAACTGGTTACACACAGTCGAGCACATGCAAGCGAAGCTGGTCATCAGGAGTGTCTGCAAACAGTGGTGGCAACTCCTCGAGATGCCTCCAAGCGTTGGCTGCCTGTGCTATGTCGACTTCACGCTGCTCACGCATGAGTTATCGAGCCCCCCAGTCGCGCGCACGAGTAGCTAGTTCTGTAAATCGAAGGCTTTGCATACATGTTGAGGAAATATCCCATGATTCAAGGCCAGACTCTGACTCGCACTGCCATGTGGACGCCACCATTATCCGAGATGGTCTCGCGGCTGTGGCTGAGTGACGATCAACGACCCATTTCACATTGTCCAGAACATCCACGTCCACACAAATGCGAGGGTAGAGCCCGCTCTTCTTCCCACATCCATCTGCTCGCCCAGCGTTGCATCGATGAAGCTGGCAGTGCTGACATGCGTCTTGCGCGTCGGTCTGGACCAGTTGTGCTTCACGTAATTCGCGATCTCCGCTTGACCAGCTGCTTCTATCAACGGCGATACCTTTCCTAACTCATCTCCTTGAGCCAATGCTTCGCCTTGTGATCCGTGGATCTCCACGAACCCGTGACTTATCATACCCAAGTGACAACATCTAGAGGATGTCACTGATTATCAAACATTGACCACGCATTGTGCTCTTGTTGCTGATGGTGTGAACTGTCACTGGCCACTGGTTCAACATGTGGGGGCTCTGAACAAATACTGCCCAGGTATGGCGTGAGTAACTTGTCAGACGGTAAGAGGACTGATCGATCTGCCGCATGAGCCGGATATCGAGAAAACAACTCTGCGGCGTCTCCGATGGGCAACATGTCCTCCGGAGCTTCCAGTGGTTCCGTCTCGCCATTGCCGTCCAGTTCAGGTGTTTCATCCAGCAATTCCGCCAGGTCACACTGGCGAGAGACATTCGGGGCGCTCAGCCGAGGTTGCTGATCCAGTATCTTGTGGTTCTTTAAATCTATCTGCAGGAACTGGCACGGATGTTGGCAGTGGTGTCGAGGGTCGAGGATGATGTGGATGTTGGCCTCGTGTTCTTGTGACCGTGTCCACGATCGATGATGCTGCCGTCCAATGCCGCGGTGTCAACTCGAGTTCGCTTGACCGTTGCATCTGGAAGAAATGCTCACCGCTGTTCCTGCGCCGCTGGGGCAAGAGATGCGCTGGTTGAAGCGCCTTGCAATCGCGGCGGGCGCGAGCGAGAATGTCGGTCCGATGTGTCGTGAGACGGGCTTCGTCGACCGACTGTGCCCGATACTCTGCTTGCGGTAGGTGTCGGCGCAGGTAGTGTAGCTGACTCCTGATGTGGATCTATCTCTTCCATGATGCCTTCCAGATCGAGGTTCGGCGAGTTCAGTAAGGGTGATTCCGGTTGTGCTGCTGCTGGGTTTCACTGCGGTCGCATTTGTGGCATGAGAACCCCTCGAACCATTATCTTAGATTTACGTGGCGCTGCTGGTCGCGCAATCTGCCGCTCGGCTTTTTTATCTTCCATGTCTTGATCATCTGAAGCTTCTCGCGCAACCTCGGGCGTTCGCAGAGCCCGGATAAGGGGCACGAGTGGCGACGGAGGAAAACTTTCCTTTCTGGTGAGCCAGGTTGCGTCGGAGAAAATGATGCGGGCACGTCCATTGAGTGTCTGGCGAGGGAGCTGGCTGGCACTGATTCCGCGGTGAACTCGCCCAGGAACGTCTGCTTTAACGTGGCCTGCATATCTTGCGAGTCGTCGTTCTTGACAGGCACCATGCTTAGGTCTGCCTGCGCACATGTAACTGGGCTGTCGCCCACAGATTGATGATGTGAGACGGGGGGCAGGAACTTGAAGTCGTGCCAGCCATTGCCCACGATCTTCTGCATGCTGATGTTCTGCGATGTTTCGACCTCCGCGCTGCAGTACTTGTCCCGATGGTTACCCAACCAGGCAAGGGCACTGCCATGAGCAAACTCCCGCAGCATCAAGATCATTCGCGCGCCACTGCCGTTCACGATGCCCTGGACACTGGTCATCTAGAATATTTCAGCGTCCAATTGTATAGCTTGGCAGGATTCAGAGAGTCAGATGTTGATTATCTCTTTATGACCATGTTTGGAGGTTCAGAAATGAGCAGATTCAGAAACGGTATGTTCAGATTTTGAAGGTTCGATTTTGCAGGTTATGTTACATTGTGTTTAAGGAGCTTCGGTTTTGAAGGTTCCGAAAACCAGGTTCGGTTTTGAAGGTTCGGTTTCGAAGGTTCTGTTTTAAGGAGGTTCGATTTCGGAAGTTCGGTTTTTAAGCGTTGGCGTTGAATGCTCAATTTCGGAGGTTCGTTTTTATAGTTCCGAATTCTGTGTTTCACTTTCGGAGGTTCGTGTGTTACTCTTCGAGTTTGAAGGCTCGTTTTCGGAGGTTCGGTTTGGTTTGCGTCAGCTGCTCATGTTTGGAGGCTCTGTTTGGTTTGACTGATGTAATCGTTTCATCGTGTTGATTCTCGTGTAGAGCCTGAGTCGGCAGCTGTTCGGGTGACAGAGCGGCATCGCGCCGCCCACCTGTTGCTTCTTTTGCTTCGGGGGTGGCGACGAGTCGTGCTCAGATGTTTGCTCTGCCTGCTGCTTCTAGATAACAAAACACTATCTCCACATCCTCCCCCTCCGCTCCTCCTCCTCCTCCTCCTCTTCCTCCTCCTCCTCCTTTTCCTCGTCATCAGTTACACAATTTACACCATCCCTCTTCCCTCTTCCTTCCCCCCCTCCCTCCCCCTCCTTCTCCTCCTCCCCCCCCCTCCTCCCTACTCCCTCCGTGGCCATCCTCCTCCTCCTCATCCTTCTCCCTCCTCCTCCTCCTCCTCCTCTTCCTCCTCCTCCTCACCATCCTCCCTTATCCTCTTCGTCCCTGCTCGTCCTGCACTTACTCCCTGACGATGCCGCAATCGTGTCGATGTTGCCGCAGTCCTCGTCGTCAGATTCGTTGTCGCCTTCTTCGTGATCAGCCGTAGTACCCATCGTCGCCAGTATCGCCGTCCTCTTGGTCAGTATCGTCGTTGAGCGTCCTCGTCTTAAAATTCGTCGTCGTCCTCGTTCTCTTCGTCGTGATCCTCGTCGTCGTCAGCATTGTCGTCTTCTCCGACTTCGTCGGCGACGTCTTCGCTCGACGTTGTCGTCGCCGTCTTCGCCGCCCACGGGGGCGCCCGTCCTCCGCAGCCGCTCTTTGAGCGCAAGGCAGGAGTTTCCAGCAGGCAAGCAGGAGCCCAAGATGTCCGGCTCCGCTTCCAAAGGCGCGCCGCGGCAGGGGGGAGGGAGGGAGGGAGGCTCTTTCTCCTCTTGCTCACCCCCCCTCCTGCGACCAGTTCGATCCCTCCTCTCTCTGGATTACTTGCCCCATCGACCTTCGGCTTCAACGTGAAACTTGGATGAACGAAGCCTTGAAACTTTCAAGGCTTCTTTCATCCAAGTTGTACTCGGCCTCAAGGGGCCGAAGGCGGTAAAATATTGCGAGGCCCTCCCTGAATATCGTATCCCCTCAACCTTTGGCCTCAAGGCCGAAGGGAGGCCTCATTATCCCTGATTCCTCCTTTGGCCCAAACCCATAGTTAACCGCGCGGGGGCCAGGCGAGGGGACCCAGACAGTCGGCCATGGGCCATGAGCCATGGGCGACGACCAGGAGGAGTTGGCTGCGCTGCTCCGCTCGATACCGCCTGATCGTGACAGATACAAGTTCCGCGGTTTCTTGTTGGCGCAGCGTATGCGCGATTGCAAGGAGGTACGCCGGGCTCGCCGCCAGAGCGTAGCAGCACATGTTCTTAACGCCATCAAGCGCATGAATGAACAATACGCTGTTAGGCAGGCCGACGTGATCGATCTATCCGAACGCAGGCTTTTTCGGAGGGTGGTGCAAAGCTGCCCTATCCAAGAACCTGTAGGATGGGGGAGGAGATCTGGTCTGGTCTGGTCTGGCCGTCCACGAAAACTCCTTGATGAGGACTAGGAGTGGGGGGTGAGGCACTTGGGCCCCCCAGCCCAAGGAGGGGGCGGAGGAGGAGGACGAATAAGATCAGGACAAAGAGGTGGAGGAGTAGAACGGGAAAGAGGAGGAGGAGGAGGAGGAGGAGGAGGAGGAAGAGGTGAATGGGTGACGGGGGCATTAGGCGCATCAAGACCAAGGGCACGGGGTCGGCCAAGCACTGGCTCCCGGCAGCGGTTCAGCGTGCTTGTTGGGGGCGTTGGGTGGAAGCGCCAGTGCGCCGCCGTCGGGTACGTGGCAAACAGCCGCAGCGAGCGAACCCTTCGCCGCTGGTGGTGCCGGGCCACGGGCCATGAGTCCGAATCCTTCTCCTCCTGACCTCCCTCCTCTCCCAGATCCTTCTCCTCCTGCTTCCCTCCTCCTCTTCCGCTCCCCCCATCTCCTCCTCTGTCACCATCCTCCTCCACCTCCCAGATACTCATCCGCCTCCCTCCTCTCCCAGGTCCTCGTCCCTCTCCTCCTTCCCTTCCTCCTCCTCCCCTTCCTCCCTCCTCCTCCTCCTCCTCCCTCCTCCTCCTACTCCTCCTAACTCCCCTTCCTCCTCTTACTCCTCCTCCTCCTCCTCCTCCTCCTCCTCCTCCTCCTCCTCCTCCTCCTCCCCCTGGCCCCTGATTCCCCTCCAGATTTTGCTCCACCTTCCCCCGTCTCCCTCCCCCTTGCCCACCTCCCTTGTCCTACTCCCTACTCTAGGTGGCCTCTGCGCGCCACGTGGCCTCGGAGATTGAGAGCAACCATTTGTATTTGCAGATGGTCCGAGACGCCACAGCTCAGACCTACGTTTTACATCAACGAGCAGCCTTGCATGCCCTTGAAGATTTCAGCTGCGGCATATTGGAGGTGTCTCCAGATGAGACGGAAATGGGAGTAGAGGTGCACGGTGCAAACATCAAGGATAGGCGCGGGGATGCCCCCTCAGGGGAAATCCTTCAGATGCTTCCAGGGTGTTTGGTTTAAGTTTTGTGCAAGGGGCAGGGGCAAAGGGGCAAAGCTACGGGAGAAAAAAAAGGGGAATTCAGAAAACGGAGGGAAGGCAGGAGGAGGAGGAGGAGGAGGAGGAGGAGGAGGGAGGAAAGAGCTGAGGACGGCGAGGGGAGGAGGAGGGGGGAGAAGAGGAGGATGGGGGAGGAGGAGAGGAGGAGGAGGAGAGGAGAGAGGAGGAGGAGGAGGGAGGAGGAGAGGAGGAGGAGGAGAGGAGGAGGGAGGAGGAGGAAGGGGGAGGAGGAGGAGGAGGGGAGGAGCAGGAGAGAGGAGGAGGAAGCGGAGGAGGAGGAGGAGGAGGAGGAGGAGGAGAGAGAGGAGGAGGAAGAGGAGGAGGAGGAGGAGGAGGAGGAGGAGGAGGAGGAGAAGAACGACGTCGACGACGACGATGAAGAGGAGGGGGGGAGGATTGAGAGGACGGGGAGGAGGAGGAGGAGGAGGAGGAGGAGGAGGAGGAGGAGGAGGAGGAGGATGCGGAGAAGGAGGGGAATGATGACGACGATCACGAAAAGGATAAGAGATAAGAGAGAGGAGGAGGAGGAGGAGGAGGAGGAGGAGGAGGAGGAGGAGGAGGACGACGATGAGAGCGAGGGCGAGAACGACGAGTAGGAGAGGGAGCGGAGGATGAGGCGGGTAGGAGGAAGAGGAGGAAGAGGAGGACTATCAAGGGGACACGGGAAGGAGAGCGTGTGCACCATCCACTGCCGTGTACTGGTGCGCCGTGGTGTCGACGTGGAATTGATAGATTTGGTGATGCCACCCGCTGTTATTCAGGGCACGACGGCTGGCCATCTCTTACAGGTGATCCAGAGTAGACTTCCAGTTTCTTTGGATACGCTCAGAGGGAAATGCGGAGGTCGCTTCTACATGACTCTGTCGACGGACAGCGCGTCATCCTGTGTTCTGCTCGGTAAGCACCTGCATGCCTTCCCGTCGCTGTGCCGGATGCATCAGCATTGCATGACCATTGTATTGCCCATGAAATCATCAGGGATCATGGGCCCTCTTTATTGCTCCACCCTTCTATTGCGGAGGCATCGCACGAAAGAGTTGATCGAGAAAGAATTACGCACGTGGGCCCAAGATCGGGACAACTTCGAAATCGTGTTCGAGCCGCCATCCGAGCAGGAGAGGGAGCACGTGAGGAGCATATTATCTCTTGTGGAGGCTGTGCTCTCGTCGAGACTGGTTGATCCCGAGAAGCCCACCAACAGGCTCACGCAAGTCAGGAACCTCTCGAGGTTCCTCTGCAGCTTCCGTGGCTCCAAGCTGCGCCACTTCTGCCCTTTAGGCTGGGAGGGGCGGGTCTCTGGCCCACCTCCATCCCATCTGCCTCTGCCACTCTCCTCGCCCTCCCCCCCCTGGGCCCCCCTTCCCACCCCTCTCACTCCACCGCTGCCCCTTTCCCGCCCTTCTGGCTCTCGGGGTCGGCGGGGAGGCTGCCACGCTAGCGAGAAGGAGGCGGAGAATGATTTGATAGGTATGCTGCAGGACAGGCCACGATTCTGGAACGCCCACTCTCGCCCAACCCATAAACAGGCAGAGAATAATAACCACCCCCCCTCCCAACTCCCAGTCGATGCGCTTTGGATCGAGGATGCGGAATTCGGCCCTGGCCTATCGATTGGCCATCTTTGTGTTTCGCAATTGCCCATGCTGTCTGACTTGTTCCCGGGACCCGCCCACAGGACATATTCTTCCATCATCCCCCACCACCTCCTGCGTGGAACAAGTGGACCAAAGTGTGGCCACCTTTGCTTTGGTGGGCTACGCTTCTCCAGATGGGTGGTCTCATGCCGGCGCTGCTGCGGGTCGCGGCCGCGATGGCGCCGGAGACGAACGAGGCGGCCATGGCGTTCGACCCAGATTTGTGCGTGGGCTTGGACTCCAAGCAGGAGTACGAGCAGAGGGAGAGAATGCGTTGGAAGAAGATGACCAAATGGATCCAGGCGCCCATCACCCCAGACAAAGTCCTCGCGACTGCCCTCAGCATCCTGCCATCATTGAAGCTCATGGGGAACTTCTTCACCGCGTCCCGGAGATACGATGTAGCACCGGCTCATTCGTCTTCGCTGCTCGCCCTCCTGAACCCGAGACCCAACATGTGCCCTAGCTTGAGTCTCATGCTGATGTTTTTTGATATATTGAACGACGAGGCTCACCATCACTGGGTGCCCTTGATTGGCGATGGGCGTGGTTGGACGGTAGAGTTATTTCAACTTGTTGGGCCACTCATCGTTGCAGAGGTCGGTAGCTTGGTAAAGCGGTTTCGCGAGGATCTCGATCAATGGCCATGGAAACTGGGCCGTTTACTCATAGATGAAGTCACTAACGACGAGAAGATTGCTCTGGTGAAGTCGCTGCGATCTGCCGAGCCGTGCTGCCTCGACCCTATTAGCCGAGGCTTCAGGGGGCGATGCACGGACGAGGGTGATATGGAGGCGCAGGCGAAGGTGGAGCTCGGCGACCTGTTCAAGACCGCGCCAGTGACCAACATCAGGAGCGAGCTTCACTTCGCTGCTGCGCGGGATCGTCCCGGATGAAATCTCCAATCTCTCAGTCCATGATAGTTTGTCAATGCCCCCATTGTACGCCCGACTTCCCATCGCCCCTTTCACGTTCTTATCCGCAGGCTCGCGCCCAGAGTGGGCATGGGAAGAGCCCGAGCCCCACGACATTGGCCTCTAACCACATGTTGACCGAGTCAAAGCTCGTGCTGGACAGCAGTCAACAGCCCAGGTAACAACCAGGAGTAGGAGGGCGAGGAGAAGAGGAAGAGGGGGTAGAAGGTGGAAGGCGAGGAGGAAGAAGAGGAGGAAGAGGAGGAGGAAGACGAGGTGTGGAAGCAGGAGGATAATGAGGCTGAACTAATGGGGATGAGGGAGGGGAAGAGGGGGAGGGGGAGGACGTGGGATGAGGGAGAATGGCCACAAGGAGGTGTGGGAGATGGGGGCAGGGGGAGGAATTGGAGGAGGTAGTGATGATGAGGCCTGAGGCATTTCTTTTGGCCGTTTTGGCCGTGAGTCCCAGGTTGGATGTACCTCCGCCACCCAGACCACATCCCAGTCAAGTACCGAGGTTACGCCACGCGTGGTCGAATTTCGTGAGGGTGCAGCGTGCCGGTACTTCCAAGAGCATGACCCAAATTGCTGCTGAATGGGCGAATCTCGACCAGGAGGAGAAGTTGGCGTACGCTGACGTGGAGCCCGCTGTTCAAGGTAGCCGGAGGCGGGTGCTCAAGCCAGCGGCTGGGCGCGCACATGACTATGCGAAAGTTTGGCCGTTCTGCGGGGACGATTGTTACCCCGTCGCCGTTGCCAATTTGAAGCAGACGTGTTCCAACATCAAGCCTCTGGCAGCAGCTTGGGGTGAGTTCATTGGGCGCGACGCCTTAGGGGTGTCGCCTGACAACATTCCAAATGATGAGGAGACGATGTGCGAGAAGTACTACGGCCAAGGCCGTTGCATTAGTCTCTTGGACCCTGCAGAGCGACATGTATTCGAAGGTTATCGTCGTCTGCTGGCGACTTGGTGTAAACTCCACAGGCCAGATGGGAATTTCGAGGCTACTCCGACGCAATTGGGTTTGATGTACTTTGGACCCCTTGAGGCCGTGCCCGCTGGAGCTGGCGACGCCCCCCCAGGCACCGCTGCCCTGTTGATGTATGCCAGCCTGTCGCCGCTGGTGGCCATTTGCTGCGCCCAGCTTGTCCACCCGCCGCAGCCAGGCGACGTTGTCCAGTTCAACGCGAATGCGGTGTCCATTGTCTCGTCACCAACCTTGTTATGGACATATAGGGCCTAAGGAATCCAAACCTGAAGCAGCTGCCCTCGCAGCAGGTGCGCCACGAAAAACATGTTTTCAATGTTCTATCATATTATATTTTATCATATTCATTGGATGCGCTGGCTCGAAGATGCTTTACCGAAGTCCGCAAGTTGCCCGTGCTCGGCGGAGGAGGAGGAGCAGGAGGAGGAGACGAGGAGCCAGCAGAAGAGGATGGAGGTTACTGCGAGGGACCAGGGGCAAGTTGGGGCACTCGGCCCATCGCATAATTTCACGGCCGCCCCCTCTAGGAGGATGTGTGCGACAGCAGTTGGGTTTCCCCGCTCTGAGTTCGTTGACTTGGTGCAGACTCAAGTGGGCCTCCTCCGCTTCAGAGTAGAATCGGTCAGGAAGGTGTCGGAGCTTATGGCGGTTGCAAAGGAGAGGAAACGATTATTGAAGGAGATAGGCATGATGAAAAAGATGGCTGCCGGCGTGGATGGCCCCGCGCCCAAGTGGCGGCGTAAGCAGGCCCCGAAGGGTAGAGGAAAGGGCGGCCGTGGTCGCGGCCGAGGGCGCGGCGATGAACCACCTGAGGGTGGCGACGGTACCCCGGAGGAAGGCGACGTCATCGCCTCAGACGAGTTAGAGGAGAGCGGCGGCGACGGCAGCGACGACATTGATGGGGGAGGTGATGGACCAGCGCCAGACCCGCCACCATTACCACCAGATCCGCCGCCAGGCCCTGTAGTGAAAGGTCCATTGGAAGATGCCCATTCGAGCGCTGACGGCGGGCCCGGGCACAGCGACCCCGGCGATTCTGGCGAAGATGATCCGCCTCCCGAGCCAGATCTGCCAACGTTGGAACCAGATGGCACTGTGAGGTCCCCAACAGGTTATTATTGGGGCCGCATTGCGACCCTGCGCCCAGGGCAGGCTGACGAGTGTTTGTCTGTGTATTGCGGCCTACACTATTGCAAGGTGATTAGAGAGAAGCGCAAGGGAACCCCATCGAACCTAGACATTTTGAGGTGGTTCAAACGGGGTCACCGTGACTTGCCGCTCTCGAAGAATCCTGGCGTCCAGAGGCGACACAAAGAATGGTGGCCAGAGCCATAAGCTGCTCGCCTCGTTTCCAGTGGTCGCGCCTCT